CAAAAAACTTAAGTAATTTGATCAATTTATTAGGCAACTAAATAGTGTTCTTGGATTTTAACACAAAGCATCCCCAACTTCTTTTGCAATAAGCCTTACTATTTCAGAAAAAATATTTACAATTTATGCTATATTTATATCAGATTAATTAAACTATAATGTGACTTTAAATAGAATATTAATCTTTGGAAGAAAGGCCAAGTAAGCAGTTTCTTCATTGTATTTATAATAATGCCACGTCAAATAAATAATAATCTGACTGCGTCTTTGAAACTGGTAATCATTATTAGGTGTAGGGAATTTTACTTGATGCTAAATGTTCTGTCCCTGCGAGATAGATGTTATTAACACAAAAGAATCTGACTGATGAAATATTTGAAGTTCAATGTATACTCCTTTTTAATATCATGTAACACAAAAAATTAAAATAATGAAATACATTAGGAGTGTTGATAAAAGAATATGTGGTATGCTCTTTGTATATAAATAAAGATAGCCTGTCTGATCTTACTATTTTTATGTACCTGACAATTAAATGTAGAATGTATCAATATAAATGTTTTCAGCTGCTATATTTTCTAAGTAAATATTCTTACATTAATTAAGATATGTAAACATTACATGAAAACTGATACGTGAGTTTAAAACATAAACACACAAATATGAAAATAAATAAATGACTTAGTAGTATTTACTGGGCATGTGAAAAAAACCCACTATGAGAACCATTTACACAAATGTATGAACTCCATTATTGACTATCAATGATTTATACATTTCATGTTAATTATGGTCAAAAGAGCTGATACTGACTACTATCAACAATTGTAAGGGAGGCTTAACTAGGATTTTGTAAAACAGTATACTCCTCTATTTTTCCTGACATCAGGTTTTAATTCAGGTTTTCAGGCTTCCTGAATTGGTCATTAGGAAGATTCAATATATTTGCATGAAATAGGCACAGGCATGGCTTAAATTATAAGCACTAACAAAAATAATATTAAGTAGTTCATAAGTTGTTAATTATGAAACAGCAATCAGAGAATCATCAAATGGACATTTGATGCTCAGGTAATGAGCATTACGAGATTTTCATGTCCAATTAAAAACTACACACTGGTCTTCCATTCTGTAATGAAATGGAACGTTTCCATTCTGTTTCTAAGGCCCTGGAATGATACCTGGTAGATTTCTGGCTCTGGCTCTGACCTATGTTATGGGAACTAAGCCCTTTGTGTAGGAATTTGATCATTCAGTTTTTGTAGTCATCACCTGTCAAAAATTTTGTGATTTCTGAAGAGAAATCACAAAATTAGAAATAATTTTGTGATTATTTCAAATTTTCAAGAAACCTTGAAATAATGATTTCTTTTTAACTCAGTTTACACTATATTAACTGAAGTAGGACTGAGATTTGAGTGGTGCTAATAAAGAACCATCATCCTAGATTTCTCTTGAATTTCATTTTCTGATCACTTAAAATGACCTTCTCACTCACTGGCCTTCCTCAAAATACATTGCTTAGGTTTAGCTCTTTCCTTAGATAGTAAAATGTTTTCTTTAATAACTGTAAAAAAATGTTTTCTTCCAATGAATCTAGCCAGAAATAGCACATGTCTTTTATATTTTATCATCGTAGTCCCCTGCACCTTTTAAATGGTAGTTAATGTTAAACCATCACTTTTTAATGCACATTCATCCTTCGTTGGTATACATTGAGCACAAATCATAAAATAATTATCTTAACAAAAGTCCTTAAAAACAATAAATTTTTTCACAAGATGTTTCACCATACTGATAAATAAGATTTCAGTGTAAAAAAAAATCAGATATTATTAATTTAAATTCTGTATCACATAGTAACTCAACAGTCACACAATTCATTTTCTGGATACAGCTATTCAGAGATGGTTTACAAAATAGGAAGCCAAGGTCTCTGGAAGATCACAATGGTTAATAAAATTTATCTTTCATGGAAACAGGCCAATCCAAACACTGATTTTATTCATAAGCATTCATAAGTCTATGTTTTGAGGTGTCAAAAGTTATGTTTTATTATGATTGGTCTTCAGTGAAAATAACTGAAAACATGCTGAGATGGAGTCATGCTAATTAGGGGAATGGAATTAGAGTGATACTATTAATATACACCATTATAAGTGACTACTATTTCCATACTTCTTATATAACATGCCATCCAACATAACTGATTCTTCGGTTTTCAGCATGTTGGTAGTTTATTCCAGTCATTTTTTCTGCACAATTTCAACTAAATTCATTAGTTCTGAGGATGTTTAATAGCATTGTAATCGGGTTTTTAAGCACAAATTGCCAAATTTGTTGTTTGTGAAGACTAATGAACATTTTATTTTATACCCCACTTAGCACTTTCTACAGAAAACTGTCTAACTCTAAGATATTTGCATACTTAAAAGATCTTTAAAAACACTTTTGCCCCTTAATGACCTAGTAGGACAGATAATCATAGGTTCCCATGATGCATTAGTCAGTATAATACTGATATTAACACATATTAAAGTGGAAGTATGCACTTTATTCAATACACTAAAGCTCTGAAGAAAGGAACAAAGAAATGCAAGAGCAAAGAAAATTGTGTAGAGCAGCATTTGAATAGCAGCCTATTTATACTTGAGATAAACTTACTTTTGTTGTTTAATGAAGTACTCACTTAAACTGTAATATGTGTACCTAAATGAATGCACATTGTATTTACATATTATGTACTGATATATTTGCTTCCCCCAAATCACAAGCTATAGCAGTCCAACGCTATTAGAACATCACTCTCAGTGACCTGATTTATGCATCCAAGTGCATACACATACATGTATTTACTCACAAAACATATGCAAACATTCACATTCAGGCACATGGGCACACAAAATTGATGTTTGTTAGCCAATTGTATGCATAAAATGTGTAAAAGAATTTTTTAAAAAAATTCATAAAGGATGTTTATATCACGGCAATATGCTATTAGGTAACTAACATTCTTTATAAACAAATGTTTGGCTTTGTATGGTATCGTTAATGGACTAATGTCATATATTTGTGTGCATGTGTGCATGCATGCCTGTGTGACATGTGCATGCATGTGTGTTAGTATAATTCCAAACAAGGCAGTTGAAATAGTATCCCTGTTTCTTTCCTCTAGGGAGATGAGTATTTTAAGGTAGGAATTATACTTATTTTATATTTGAAGCAAACATCATTATTGAGAAAATAGAACAAAATGTGAAATATCACCATCAAAGAATGTCAAACTTTTTCAACTAATTCTAAGCTCTTCTAATGCAATAATAATGTGTAATCATAAATATGTACATTTTTGTTCCACCACTTAGATTACTGGATTAATAAGCCTGTTTTCCTAAATATTAAGTGATACCTTGGAAGTAACAGAAACTGCAGGTCTCATACTCATTGTAAGTTGCATTATGTTATTTATTTTATTATATCCCTATTTCTATTTTTCACTTTAACGACATATTACAATCTATTCTATAATTATAATGCATATAAGGATATATATATATTCATGTGTATATTCTTCATTTCTATATCTATATATGTTCTACGTTGTTTTCTTTTTAAGGTACAAAAAAGAAAGAAAGAGTTAAGCAAGTATGTCTGAGATCTATTCATGCCAGTATATTTCCATGTTGGAGCACTCCAGGAAAAGAAAGAAGGCAAGGGACCCAATCAAATCCTCTTATAAACATGATAATGACAAAACTTTTGGTAAACAATCTCGTGGTATTAGCTAGAGAGAAAGTGCTTATCTATAACATCTTTTTAGTTGGATGTGTCTCACATAACACATTGGTAAACAAATCTATAATCTGTAGACTTATGGAACAGGGTTCCCTGAAAAATGGGTTATATGCTATGTAGTTATAGAGGTATAAAGAGATATTTATGATAAAAAATAGCTCCTTTCTGCATTAGTTATGTGGCTATGCCATTTACTTGGAGATGCCACATGTTGATCTAATTCAGAGTGCATCTCGCGGTCAGGAAGGATGTAGGGTGCTGCTGGAATATCCTAGATCTCTCTGTACTTCATCCATCTCATAAATCCTCAAAATTTTAGAAAAACTTGAGATTTGTTACTGAACACTTGTCTAAATTAAAAATGAGTTTTACTTAACTCAATTTTTAGCAAAAAATTGATTGTCAATGGGGACATTTGCTTTTTTATGGTTTTTGGATTATGCTGCTGTAGCAAATCCTGTAATACATTATTAAGCAGCCTTCATTACCATTTTGGCCTGATATGACAGGATATAATTTATGTGATATAATGTCTTATGATATGATTGATATAATGTCTTATGATATGATTGATATAATATGTTCTGGCCAGTAAAAAATAAAAGGAGAGCAGATTTATATTTTTTCCTAAAAAAATATTTATGTCTTTGGCATTATTTTATTTTATTTTTTTACATAACACAGTATTTGAGGGGTGAATAATTTACTCATTAGAAAAAATTGCCAACTCAAGAAATATAAATCCCCCAATGCAATACAATTATATATATATGTGTGTGTATGTATATCTGACAATTTATGTGACAAGCAAAATCTATGCAGGAAAATTTCAAGGAACTATTTACTCTCTTCAGCAAAGAATTAAAATTAATATATAAGCAGAGCAAATAATATATTTGAAAATCTCATTCAACTTTTGTAATATGCCATATTTGTTTTAAACAGAGATTATTTATTTAAGTGTTACAGAAATATTGAAGGATATGTAACATTTTCTTGCATGGGTATAAATAATGGATAATCAACATAATAGGGAAAGTGGTTAATTTATTTTCAATTATTTCATTACATTGTTTTAGAAAAAGTGAGGATACGTTTAAAATGTGTTGAAATCACATTATCTGATGGAAAAGAGCATCTAGAAATCAAAACCATTGCTTTTTAATTTACTGTAGCAAATGCAAGTTATGTGTAAACACACTAACCTGTTTTAGGATCAACGGAGAAGTAGGGTTGTCCCTGGAGAATGCTGTAAACCACCCGAGCACTGTTTCCATAGGTAGGGTCATCTGCATCAGTAGCTGTCACCTGTAGAACAGAGGTACCTGTGCATTCAGGAAAACAAATTTTAGTGTGTGATGGCATTTAGCATATGATTAATTTGAACACAGAAAATGGGTATGGTGAAATGTCTATGGAGATCAGTAATGGTTGTGTCCTAGTAAATTTAATTAAATGTATGTATAAAACATATTACTTGCTTTCTTTCCCTGCCATCAACTGTAATCAAAGAGAGTCTAAAATATAATATTGGTCTCAAACCTTTTAACATGGTTCTTTATGTGCTGGTAACATTGTGAATAGTCTCTTTTGATTTTCATTAAAAAAGCAATAAAACATAACCAAGGTTTGGTCGGCTTGCGCTAATAAATCAAATTGGTACTAACTGTGCAGTTAAATCAGAGGTATGATAAAGCTGTATATAACATGTTTCATGACTGTTTTGAAAAGTGGAGGTGGAATGATTTGTGATTAAGTCGGGAAGGTGGGTGAGTTGACATTCAATTATCAATGACATCACAACACTCCATTCAACTCATTTTCTGTGTTACACATTCTTTTTATTTATTACCTGCATAATTAATAAGTCACATAACTGGTCTCCTTTTTTTGTTTGTTTTTTTGTTTGTTCGTTTTTGAGACATGAGATGGAGTCTTGCTCTGTCATTTAGTATGGAGTGCAGTGGCACGATCTCGGCTTACTGCAACCTTTGCCTCCCAGATTCAAGCGATTCTCCTGCCTCAGATTCCTGAGTAGCTAGGACTACAGGCGCCCTCCACCATGCCCAGATAATTTTTTTATTTTTAGTAGAGACAGGGTTTTGCCATGTTGGTCAGGTTGGTCTTGAGCTCCTGATCTCTGGTTATCTGCCCCCCTCAACCTCCCAAAGTGCTGGAATTAAAAGCATGAGCCACTGTGTGCAGCCAACTGGTCTACTAAGTTCAAATCTCATTCCTTTAGTGTCTCATACACAGTGCCAACATTGCACTGGATTTTTTATAATGAAAATGAATTATAAATTCATTTATAACATTACAAATACTATATTTTGAGGTAATAAAATTATTGAATGTAGTATGCTCATGCCTTTATGCTTACTTTTTAAAACCCAGTTTGTATAATTAGATACACCTATATAATATTTCAATTGTTTCTAACCGAAAACTTAATCTAAGTATAACATGACAACCATATATTAAGGGATATACAACTTCATTACAGAATTAGTGGGTAAGAATGCTCATCTAAGAATTCACATCTATTCATAAAATGTACCTGATGAATCATCTAATAGTGCACACTTGATATTTTATTCCACGTCACTAGAAAAATTCTACCTACTAATTTGGGTTATCTATCAAGTAAAAATATTTTTACAATCAAATGATCTTGTATGGAATTTTGTATTCATTTTGGTATTTGAATATGGAAGCACTGACAATTAAGAGTTTTTTATTTTAGTAATGATGTCAATGATTCAGGACCTAATGTCTGTTCAACTAGAAAATGTGTACTTCTAGGCCTGGGCGTGGTGGCTGATGCTTGTAATCCCAGCACTTTGGGAGGCTGAGGCTGGGGGGATCACCTGAGGTCAGGAGTTCGAGATCAGCCTGGCAAATATGGCAAAACCCTGTCTCTATTAAAAATAGAAAAATTAGCTGGGCTTGGTGGCGCATGCCTGTAATCCCCGCTAGTTGGGAAGCTGAGATAGGAGAATTGCTTGAACTTGGGAAGTGGAAGTTGCAGTGAACCAAGATTGTGCCATCGCACTCCAGCCTGTTCAACAAGAGCAAAACTCCATCAAAAAAAAAAAAAAAAGGAAGAGAAAATTTGTACTTCTTTGTTGAACTTCAGACACAACTTTAGGGAAAGTTTGTTCTGTGTCTTCAAGTGATCCTAGAAAATAGAATTAATATGCCAAGTTCACCTAACAATCCTTATTAGCAGATCATAAATATTTATAATATATTAAGGATTCTGGCCCCTAAAAAGTATTTTAACAATGAGACTCTAAGAAGAAATATGACTTGCAATTATCCATCCTCAGAGGATGAGAGCTGTGTTATGTCTAAAAGAGATTTCAAATTATAGACCAATAAAATAGTATGGTGACAGTAACTGCTGTTTAGAATGCTGAGAAACTGGGTCACTCATACACTGTGGGTAGAAATGTGATTGTTTGGCAATTTCTTATAAAACTAAACACACATTTACCCAGTAAATTGAATAGGGAATTTTTTTACTTTTTATTTTTATTTTATTATTATTATTTTTTGAGACAGAGTTTTGTTCATGCTGCCCAGGCTGGAGTACAATGGCACACTCTTGGCTCATTACAACCTCCACCTCCTGGGTTCAAGTGATTCTCCTGTCTCAGCCTCTTGAGAAGTTGGGATTACAGGCACCTGCCACCATGCCCAGCTAATTTTTTCTATTTGTAGTAGAGATGGGGTTTCACCATGTTGGCCAGGCTGTGAACTCCTGACCTTAGGTGATTCGCCCAGCTCAGCCTCCCAAAGTTCTGGGATTACAGGTGTGAGCCACCGCATCCAGCCCTAGCATTTTAACAAATAAATAAAAACTGATGTTCATAGAAAACCCTGCTTACAAATATTCATAGTGGCATTGTCCATGATAGCCCCACACTGGAAACCATCCTGATGTCCTTCAATGAGAGACTTGTTAAACGAACTGGTACATTCATAGTATGAAACATTACTCAACAATAAAAATGAATAGACTATGGATACACGCAACAACTTGTATGAATCTTCAGGGAATCAACTAAATGAAAATTCAGTAAATCCCAAAAGGTTGTATACTATGATCCCATTTATATAGCATTTTTGAAATGAAAAAAAAAATTTAGAAATGAATAACAAGTTATTATTTTCTGGAGATTTTGGGAGACAGACTAGAGCAATGAAGTTTGGTATAGAAGGGAAGCATAAGGGATCCTTATGATATTGGAGCTGTTCAATATTTTAATTATGATAATTGACATACAAATAGGCACAGCTGATAAAATTCTGTAGAACTAAGCTCACTCGTACACACAGACATACACACACACACAAATGTATACAAGTAAATCTAGGGAAACCTAATGACAATCAGTAGATTTTACTATTTCAATAACCTGGTTATGATATTGCTTTATAGTTTTGCATGATCTTACCATTGTGAAAAAAAAAAAAAGATTTGCAAAATGTTACCATTACACGTGAATCTACAACGGTCTCAAAATTACAAATATTAAAGACAAAGATGAGTTCTTGCCTCTGTGCTACTCCATTATTAGAGAGGTAGTTTGGGTTTGTGTGTCCTGTGAGTTTTCTCAATATACCACTAACCTTTCTGGCTTGATTAAATCAATTCCCACCACAAACTGTCCTGAGCTGGTCACATACAGACTATCTCTTCCACTATAAAGTATAATTAGTTATTAACATAGCATATTAGGGACTTTTTATGTGATGGCACAACACTTGATCCATAACCAATATTTAACCCTCCAACTTATTCAGAGAATACGACTAGGTAGGCATCTACAACTAAAAGTTGATTTTGAAGACATTTTCATTGGTACCTCACTGAAAAAAATAAAATAAAATAAAGTCTGTTGTTAGGTACCCAGATTAGGCTTTAAATGTGCAGCAAGCTTAAAATATGGTTAAAAATGGTATAAAATTATTTCAATTAAATCTTTCTTTGAAGGTCAGGCACAGTGGCTCACGCCTGTAATCCCAACAATTTGGGAGGCCAAGGCAGGCAGATCACCTGAGGTTGGTGGTTTGAGACCAGCCTGACCAACATGGAGAAATCTCATCTCTACTAAAAATACAAAATTAGCTGGACATGGTGGTGCATGCCTGTAATCCCAGCTACTTGGGAGGCTGAGGCAGCTGAATTGCTTGAACTAGGGAGGCAGAGGTTGAAGTGAGCCGAGATCATGCCATTGCACTACGAACTGGGCAATGAGAGTGAAACTCCATCTCACCACCACCACTACCACCAACAATAACAAAAAACTTTCTTTGATCTGATAAGAGAAGTGTTAATAGTTCTAGGCACATAGGGATTACTGGGACTCGGGAAAGGGAAAACTACAGAAAACAGTAGAATAACGGCCATTGAAAAACTAGGCTTATACACTCCTCAGGTTTTGAAATTAGCTCTGGCCCTGAAATAGCAATTTAAGTCTAAATAGTTTTTAATATCTAAATAGCAGTCCCTGGGTAACCATTTCATGCAAAAAGCTGAGAAGTATAAACAGTGCAAGATCACTCCTCATTTGCTATAATAGGCTGAATTGCCACATGAAAGAGAGTTGCTCTGTTTAGCTTGAGGTGTCTATAAAAGTCTAGCCTTGTTAAGTGAGAGTTGAGATACATGAAGGCAGTGACAAGTTAAATAAGGAAAAACAAGAAAAGGAGATGAAAAAGGAAGAAGGGTAGCATGGTGATATTGTCTAAGTGATTGTTTAAAGTAACAAAGGAAAGTTAGTAGAGCAGACAAAAAAAAATATATAGTAACTCTCTGCCCTGATCCAAAAGAATGGTCATTAATAGCTACATACATTTCTGCACAGGAAGTCTCACACAATTCTCTTTGTGTGTGAAGCAAAGAGCAACAAATTGCCTCTTGTACTGTACTTCAGTGGTGCCTGAAGGCATCAGGTTACCACTTTGAGTATCAGATTGCTGACTGAAGGGAACACACACACTTATGAATAGCAGAACCCAACTAAATGCCAACCCATCAGAGAACAGAACAGGGTTGGACATAAATAGCAGGGATGGAAAAGAAATCTCTTGCCCCATTGTTCAAGGATCTTTTACTAGGTAGGACTGGAAAGAAAGCTTAGAGCTGAAAGAAAAATATATTCATATCTTAAATTCTTATTTATTTGAAATCTAGATGGAAAATTGTAAGACTTGGTATATTCAGTAATTCTTTATACTAGAAAAAAGTGTGTGCTTTTATTAATGCTATAGGCTAAATGTTCATGTGCCCCTCAAATTCCTATGTTGAAATCCTAAC